AAAGAGGAGAAAAAAAAAAAACAAACTTAGCAAAGAGAACCCAACGAAACAACAAATCAAACTATCACAACTCTAAATGAATCTAGCTTTCTTCATATCTCTGTGCTCAGGGCTAACGTTCATAGCCCTTCCTACCCATCTCCATTACGCTCAGCTTGTCAGCCGCCAAGCCGAGCAGAACGAGGAGTGAGGAACAGCGGTCATAATGAGACAGACGATAAAGCAGAGGATGGAGAGATGGCAGCGACAAAGTGAAAAGATCTAAACAGCGTAAATGGTCTGAAATTAAGTGTTGTCATTTCTCAAATGCACGGGCTTTGCAGAGGAATCCTGAACTTTAAATGAAGTAAATGATGGCGGGTTTTTCATCATTTCAAGTAGCCTTTCATTGTCCAGGGCAAAACTGAGTGATGCCCTCTACATCATTTAGAGAAAACTATGAATTAAACATGGCCACTTACCACACTGGTGGAGATGTAATGAAATTCAAAAACGCTACTGACACTTGTTTTTTCACGTGTTATTTGATTAAAACAGTGGCCACTAGGGTGGTGAAGTGATGAGTGATTAACTGGGAGGTGAAATGAACCTCACTGTTGCTAATTCTCTCCAGAGTGTTATTGCCTTTGGCTACTGTCATACTGGTATGAAATGGTTCGTTTGCAGCACTGAAATAAAATGAATTCGTTCCTATGCTTCCAGCCTTCCTGTTCCAATGGTCCGTTGCTCTCATTTCATGTTTGTTCAATCTGTGTGGTACTGTGAAACCTGTCTGTCTGTTCTGCCTACAGCTTCAGCAGCAGTATCCAGAGTCGTGTCACTGATCCTCAGTGAATTCACCTGCTCCCTGTCTGTCCTGCTTTAGGACTGCAAACAGGAAGCTGCTCTTTCTGACAAAATAAGAGGTCAGAGCGCTGAATGCTGCTCCCTACTCTCTGTATAAGAGTGGTCCAGTTAGTGTCGACTCTAAGCTAAAAGTACTGACCAAACCCTTTAAAATAACATGCATGATCAGTGCCTGAATGAAGGACGGTGCAAGTATTGACCCTTTGATAACACAATCATTCCCTCAAATGATGATCAGGTTCCCATGAGCATATACCGTATGCTTATTCAGGGCAGCCCTTTCAGTGCTTTATGTTTTATATTTTCCCCCATGGCATCGTTTTTATCATTAAAACTATGATTTGAACAGTACGACTTGAACCTGCAATAACTACAGACAGGTGACAAATTAAAGGAAAATCTTGATGGGAGACATTTCTTCCAGGATGACTGCTCCCATCCCTAGCTCATGAATAGTTTGATGAGTATGAAAATGATGTGAATCATATCTTATGGCCTTCACAGTCACCACATCTGAACCCAGCTGAACACCTATGGGAGATTTTGGAGTAATGTGTCAGACAACATCTCCACCAGCATCGTCAAAAACACCACGAGGGAATACCAGTGCATGTCTGAACAGGGCTTTGTAGAAACAATGCTGAACAAAGCTGTTCTGGCTGCACATGGTGGCCCAGCACCTTACTGAGGCATGTTATGTTGATTATATTCCTTTAATTTATCACCTGTCTGTAGTTTGTTTTAATTAGCAGGTGGCACAGGAAACAAGTTGTGAACACAACATTGACATCATCTTTTTAAGTTATTAATAATGAATTTTTTTTTTTTTTTTAGCAATCAGTGAGTGTTTATACTTCCAGTAGTTACAGAGCAACATTTTACTCTACTGGAGATGTGTCTCTGGCCAGCTGGCAAAGCTCGATATTCACCGACTTAGTTCTGCTTTTGGTCTCTACCAACTGCTGAGGGAAATATCTGGCTCTGTAGCAGCCAAACGCTTCACTATGTTCACCAGCTGGTGGCTAACCGTGTCTGTCTGCTGTCAGGTGCTGCACAGCCGCCTCTAGCCAAACTATAGGTGAAGCTGGTTCCAATGCAAACGGCCAGTCACACTCAAGCAAGAGCAAATGCGATGATGTTGCTGGTCTGAATGTATGGTTTTCAGGAGCACATTCTTGTATTCAGCTACCAAAATCCACTGCCTGCAACAATTAAAAAAAAAAGTGATTTAAAACAAGTCAACACAAACTTAGCAACAGTGTCTGAAAGTTAAAGTTGATGTGCAGGCAGGATCAACACTCCAGGAACTATGATCAGTGCAATATTGATGGTCAGACCTAAATAATGAATCCAACAGAAGAAGAGAACATGGAGCCACTGCACATCAACAGACCATCAAAGAAGAGAAATGTCTTTTCTGACACCACAGTAAAAAGAAAACACATTATAATCAATCAAACATCAGTGACCATTCATAATTTTCTTTCACGTTTCCCAATACCGTATATTGGTCTTATGGCAAAACATTATTACAAGGCATAGCCCAGTTTTCAGTCTTTGGTTCCATATTCTTTTCCTTTCGATCAGCTTGACAGGCAGTGAGCACTGCTACCCCTTGTACAATAGCAAGCGTACAGTATCAGAGCCCTAAAGAGAAGCGCAATGGTGTCCTCAGATAAAAGCCCCCAAACTGGCATCCTGAGATGAGTCTGCTGCTCTGACAGATGTGTCTGTTTCATAGGCCTCATTATGAGCCCTTTTCTATCCCTGTGACTGGGCCTGATCTTTGACTGCCACCCCCTTTTCTTTGCAGGTCCATCTACTGCCCTGATTGGCAGGTAATTACCAGCCAGATGACAGCAGCCTATTCCAAGAGTCGAGAGGTCATCAAGGTGCTTTTTGGTGCACAGAGTTTTCCCAGACCGGCTAAAGTTCTCAGAGATGAATTTTCCTTGAGAGAAAGCTGCAGGTGGTGACAATGCCAAGCCGTTAGTTTAGTCTTTAGTTTAGTTTATGCTGCTCCCATCTGAAACCATCTTTGATCATGTGACTAAAAGGTGGGTGAGGGAAAGGACTTGTTTTCTGTCTTAGCCACTGTTATTACACAGAGACAAGCAAGTCATAGCTCTGATTCGAGTGCATGTGGGGTTATGTGGAAAAATACTGTAAACTAAGTGGAAGAAGAGAAAGGAAAAGCTGTGCAAGAGGGAAAGATGAGCCAAAGCCTGAAGCTAAACTGTGTCAGCAATGAGACTGTGGATTAAAGTGACAGCTTAAAGTCACAGGGAAATAGTATTTTCATGGCATCGTCTTTCTTGTTTCATGGTCTTGTTGAACAACAGAGGAAGGGACTTCTGAAAAGTAGGCAGGTTAGATGGTCTCTATACAGGAACTTTTTAGAAAAAGGAAGAAGTGCCTCTAAGTTTTGATTCAGCTGTAGATGCCTTGTGTTGCTGACTGAATTTCTTATGACAAGAGGTGCCCCAAACATCACTTTGAAATTTGTGAAGTTGCGCGTTTTGTATAAATGCAAGAAGTTTATGGGGATTCTGCTATGACTTTTTTGGTTTAAATGTTTTATGCAGCATTAATGTATTTATTTTTGGCCTCTTAGATACAGTGGAACAAGCTGTAAATACAATACTGACATATTATCCACCTTAAGTTGTTTGGGGAACTTGTTAGCAGTAACCTATTTACACTCCCAGCAGACACGGCGCAGCAATAACATTCATTTAGATTCATGTTTCTGGGCACTTGGATAATGTGAATCAGATATTCTCTCTTCTCTTGGTTCTTTCTGTAGTCAAACATTTGCTGATGGAAACAATACTACTGAGAGTGGTGAGACTGAACTATGAGTTGTAGGCAGTAAAACCAAAACAATGAGCTGAAAGATGCTAAGGTGCCATAAAAAAAAATGCAGAACTGGTTGATTGTGGGCTACAGATAGGTGACACATTTACAGGAAAATCCTGCAGCTTTGCAGCTCAGTGACGTCTGATGCCACAATGCTCTTATATCAGTAATATCATATAATAGTCCCTCTGTTTGTTCTCAGCTTCCTGCCCTTTGTTTTGTCAAGTGGTGTAATTGAATTTTGTGTGATCTGGTCAGGTTTCCGCTGGCTACTACGTCTCATTTATTTCCTTCACAGAAATAACACATTAAAACAGCATCCTGCTGCTACATTTACTGTTCAAAGAACCATTAGCCACTCATTTAGCATTAGCTTCTCAATGCTAATAGTGGCACAGATGCTAAATAACAAAGGACAGCGACGTATCCTTTTAGTGTGCTCTGCATCTGATCACGAGTCCAGCTACTCAGAATTTAAGCAATGGTCAAAGCAGTCAGTTAACCTCAACATTTTCATTTTACATTTAACTCTGCATATAGTTTTGAATAAGATGTACATAATCTAGAGAGAAAATACACTCGGCTCCCACGAAACTGCGAGAGGGAAAGTTAAATCCTGAGTGAAGCCACAGTGCCTGTCGGAGTAACGCCCTTGTGAGTTTTTTAGAATAACATCATCAAGTTGAGTCTCTTCTTTCTAGTCAGCATACTGTTATTCCATGCCTGGACCTTAGTTACATAAGATTCAGTGGCCTTTATTTAGCCTGAGAAGGCTCTCATTTGAGGTGCAGCATAAATGATGCAGGGCTCTGAATGACGCAGATAGATACAAAAGCAGTGTCTAGGTTTCCCACCGCGACCGCCACTTTGGACATAAACAGTTGCCACCAGGCTGGCAACAAGGCTGAGTCACAGACTGGACTGCATGAATGACATCTACACCTTCACTTAAAGTCTGTGGCCTGTGTCCCCTCCCAGGAGCAAGACTGAAGTAAGCTCTGATTTTAGAGGCTCGCGTGTGTTAATTCAAGAATCAGACACTGAAGCATGAAAGAGGAAAGGAGTTCAACACTGATGCTACTCAAACGCTAAAAAGACAAACTGTCCTGCAGAAACACACGAGGGTGTGGTGGAAGTTGAGACATCCACTTCCACAGACCAACACCACAGAGCATTCTGGAAAGTGCTGACTGTCTGTTCCCAGCCACAACCACGCTGCCATGCAAAGCCATCATTTACCAACAAGACGCTGCCTTTTGCACCAGCTAACCCTAATGCTGGCTCCCACACATGCTGACAGTGCTATTATCATCTCAAAACAGCACTCTTACTGCTCTTATTAAAAAAAAAAAAAAACTCCTGGCTAAACCAGCTTTCAAATTCTCCCTCTTTGGCCCTCTGCACATATTGACAACATCAAGGGAAAATACGTGGTCTTCATCAGAAAGCACCCTGCATCCTGATTGATATGCACCAACTTTCCTCATACAGGCTGCTGCTGCACTGGAGGGGAAATAAAGGCAGCAGGCACAGAGCTACAGCACAGTGGCACAGATGAAAAGCCCACAGCTCACTCTATGATGCAGCTCCTGTGTTAAGCCCTAGGAAAACAGCATAGAGCTGCACTGTAAGCTAAACAGACCTGCGCATGTGAAGTCATTAATCTCTTGTAAACTGGCCTAATTGATATTTCTCTTCCGCTCGGTATACAGGTTCATCCCTGTTTTATACCACAGCGTAAAACGAGATTTGAAAGGATAAAAAGCAAAGTGACTGCATTTGATTCGAGTCTTTGATCTGTGGCAAAAGAATAAGATATCCATGGTGATGCAAACAAAAGAAAAACAGTTATTATGGTGTTTGTGTGCCAGATTTTATTTGCTTGGCTGTTGCTAAAGGTCAGAGCATTCACTGTTGAGTGGGTGGGAAAAAAAATTTTAAAAAATGAGACGTACAGTCGGCCACATGGAGCAGAGAGAGAGACATGACACGGCTTCTGAGATGTTTACCATAGTGATGGTTTGTTCTACTCGTTTTGAAGAAGTACATTTTCTCATTTGTCTTCATGTTCATTCATTTCCGCTCGCTCTTCCACACACACACACACACACACACACACACACAAACTGCTGCTGCCAAGTGACGCAGACCTGTCCTACTGCATTACCTACAATATGGCAGCCGAACTATGACTCAGCTCATTAAATAGAGACAAGGGGGCTTGACAGTTTACATAAACCACAGTAGATATACGCCCTCCACACCTAATCAACAACACTAAAACATCTCCTTAATTAAAAATCATTAACTTGATGCATTCACTATTAACAGCACCAATTAATTACATACAGAGCTAATGTCTCATAAATAATGAAAGGATGAAAGGGTGTTGTGCAAGAGAGGAAGAACAGATGGATGTTTCTTTTGCTTGTTTTGCTTTGTCACTTCATGTTCAGTCGCCCACCCAGACAAACTAAATGACACTAATCAGGTCCTGGTGTCAGCGGTCCGCCAGTTGTTGGCGACAACTTTGTTTATGGGGAACAAATGAATCCGTCTGAACCCCTGCTTGAGCCATCTGCTGACAGAAGCCCACTTCCACTAAAGCAGTGATGGTTGCTGCAAAGATATGAGGCTGTGATTTGAGGTCCAGCGTTGCTAATTTTCAAGTCTGTGAGAGTGTCTGCGCACACACACACACACTTGCATCTGTATGTTGCTGCAGCAGAAGGAAGTGTTTCTGTGCCATAGCAGCAGATGGTCAAAGCTTAGCCCCAGTTTGTGCCTCATGTATTACCATTACATTCATGTCCCACAGCCAAACATTCGTTTTCCAAAAATAAAGACCCAGCAATCTTTGAAAACCCCCAACATATCATTTGTCAAAACAGCTTGTGTTGTGAAGGTATTTCCAAAATTAACAAGCATCTAGATGAAACAATATTCCAACCAGTCAAACCTGGACATTGTATTAGAGAATGCACAATAAAATAAAATCTGTCTAATACAGATATACATTCATTTTTTTAATGAGCAAAGCTCCTCATCTATCAGCTTCCTCCCTCCTCTTTTCTCACACACAGTAGATGCATTTTCTCCCTCAGTTTCCCTGATTCCCTGCTTTGTTTCTTATTTTTCCTCCTTGCTGGTTTCCCACTTCCTCTCTGTAGCAGCAAAAATGAAAAATACCACCACTTCATATCTGTGAGCATATCAAAAGAGAAAAGAGGGGGGGGCGGGGACTCCTACGGCTCTCTTCCAAGCTGAAAGTGATTTTTTTTTTATGTACTGCAGAACAATTTCATGCCCAATTCATTTAGTCCCTTGGTAATTTAATTTAGAA